AGCTTCCATTCTTTTTGATCCCAACAACTCATCCGCTCTTAAAATTGAAGTCTTTCCTACATCTTTAACTAAAACTGAGTTCGAGAATATCGCCATGCAAGAGGTTAAGAGATGGTTAGAACTTCCAAAAGATACATTTTGGTTATATTTTTCACAAATGCAAGAAATCATGTGGAGGTTTGGTGACATAACTAGAAATTTCTGTAAAGATGTGGTTTCAAATAAGAAATTAATGAAGAAATTACAAGAGTCAAGATTTGACGTCGTTTTTGGAGATGCTATTTTTCCCTGTAGTGAGCTGCTGGCTGAGCTATTTAACATACCCCTTGTGTACAGTCTCCGCTACACTCCTGGCTACGTTTTTGAAAAGCATTGTGGAGGATTTCTTTTCCCTCCCTCTTACGTACCTGTTGTTATGTCAGAATTAAGTGATCAAATGACTTTCATGGAGAGGGTAAAAAATATGATCTATATGCTTTCTTTTGACTTTTATTTCCAAATGTATGACATGAAGAAGTGGGATCAGTTTTATAGTGAAGTTCTAGGTAAGTATTTTTTTCCAATCTGTAACTTACTTGTATCTTTGAAGCAGAGCTTATATAAAGCCATAAAGTCAGGGTGGTGGGGTTTTGGTAAGTGAATTTATAAAATGAAAATAGAGGATGATCTATCAATCTCACAAGTATTATAGAAAAGCTTAAATTACAGGGTCAGTTAAAACTGTGTGGCCATGATTCACACAGAAAACCCCAGGAAATCATAAACCTATGTATTAGTGCCTCTAAGACTTTAAGTAATTACTCATCTGTTTTAGTATACATTGTTTTACATCTTAAAATCTGTAAAACCCATCAAATAACATCTTACTGAATGCATAGATTTAGAATGCGTAGTTACACATTTTTCTACAACTATCTATATAACTGCCAAAATTATTTTTTCTGTAAAGCTTAGTTTTCTTATTTAGAAATCAGAAGATATTCCCATGTTACCAGAAGTTTTCCTTCACAGTAGAGAGAGAGAATGTCTATATCTCTGATGCAAAAATCATTAAAGATAATTTGAAATGTCTAATGTTTCTATACTCTTTCATTGAAGAATTGGAAACCATTCATTTAGAGACCAATCATCTTATTGGAATGTGAAGGTTGTTATGTCTACATAGTTGCTTTTCAAACTATGTCTCTTTATTAAAAGATATAAGACAGATTAAGGTTGAGTACAAATCTTTATTTCAATAATTTCTCAAAAATTTCTAGCTATGATTTACAAATATATTTACCTAAAGATAATATTATTAAGATCTTAGCTTCAATCTAAAAGAGTACACAGTTTTCATCCATACTCTCCACATAGTCCACAGTTCACTTGAAGAACCAAAGATAAAAGGATTGGCTTAATGAGTTGTGTAAACTAGACTATTTCTTAGAAAATTATTTTTATGGGTACAGTAGAATTAATTGAATATGGAGCTCAAAGAGTTGTTTAAATGTCCATAGGCTACTATTGAAGCTTTAAAAGGAAAAGAAATTGGTGTTTAATTCTCTGTGGCTTATTTTAATAATTATTTATGATTGTGAGTATACTGATGTGACATTAGAGATGTAGCTTAACCTCACAGTTCTCCTACTACTTTCTTATAAATATTCATGGGCAAAATAAAAAATACATAAAATTAAATTATGTCTATAAATGAGCATATGTATATATTTTTCAAAGCACAGACCCTTTGCCTATATTTTTGCCTTCATTATTCTAACCCCTTTCAGAAAATTACCTAATGTAATTATCTTGTGTCATCTACTTTTCTTTTTTTTAATTCTTGTCAGGAAGACCCACTACATTATCTGAGACAATGGGGAAAGCTGACATATGGCTTATTCGAAACTCCTGGAATTTTCAGTTTCCACATCCACTCTTACCAAATGTTGATTTTGTTGGAGGACTCCACTGCAAACCTGCCAAACCCCTACCTAAGGTAAACATACTGTCATTGGTTTTATTTTGTTGGCTTTGAATTTTCAGTAGAAATGATTCTACAGTCTTCATTCAGAGTGTTTGACTTACACTGAAAGAAAGATGGGAAGTGGGTGGGGTAAAGCAGATACCAATTAGAACTCATGTACATAGTGATACCATCACACGTATGTGAGTTTTATGAGTACTACTAATAGAGGTGAATACTAAGAAGATTTCAAAAATAGAGTTGGTTAAATTAAAGTCTTCATTATTTAACACCTAAGAAGGTATTGATCATTCATTCAAATAATATTTACAAAGGGATTAGCACAAAACACAGGTAAGTGCACAATTTTCTGTGAAAATAATGGACTCAGTTTCTGTCCCCACATACCTTACATTCTACTTGAAAAGATAGAATATGTGCAAGTAATAAAAATTATATAAAAACTATTATCTCAAGGAAGAACCCAATGACAAGAAAGCATCAGTGGAGATAATAGAAAGTATCCTGGAGTCACTGATTACTAAGATGAGAGCTGAACAATACACAGGAATAAGTAAAAGAATGATGGGGAGAGATACACAAAAGAAGGAAAGCAGGTAAAGTGGTCAGGATAGTTCTCAAGTCCTCAGGTTTAATCTGCAGGGAGACACTAAGAATCAGATGATGCTGAGAGGCAAATTAGAGCCAGATACATATTTAGGAGTGGAAATATTTTTTAAGCACATTGAAAAACTGTGAAAAAGAGTTAAGAAAGAAAGCTATATGAAAAGATTCTCTTCTTTAAGAAGAGCTTTCAAGATATTCAATGATTAAATTGCAGGAGGGTCAGAATAAAGAGCCAGCCATTCAGGAAATTTTGCATGGATTCAGGTAACAGATGATGGAAAAGTGGATGAATATGATGATAGAAATAATGATACCTACTTTTAAAAAATAGTGACAACTTTATGTTGTGTCGTGTGAAAAAATATTAACACAGAA